ATAACTGTTGAGAGAATCATCAAGTTCAAGGAAACGCCAGGTTGTCGTGCATGCACCGGACATTCCAAGATTCACAGTGCTGAATGCAAGAAGAGGTTCTCCGAACTTGTTTCTGCAGATAGAGCTGAAGCAGCTGCAAAAAGCGCTGCCAAAATTGAATCTAAGGAACCCATTCCCATTGTTCATACTGAAGGGGATGAGGAGCTAGCCAGAGCAATCCACGCATCCGAGCACGAGAAAGATCCTAAAATCGCAGTTACTGCAGAAGATGTAGCGCATGAATTTGATGCAGCCGAAGCCGGGGAGCCCGCTCCCTCAAGACCCGGTGCCTCATTTTTCGATTCCGCGCCAGCGACAGCCGCTACATCGCAAGGTGAAGATTTTTGGGTGTTCAAAGAGAATGCCAACTGTTTGGTTCGGTGCCATATCATGCCAAGGCAGAATCTTTTTACCCCAAAGGAGGTCGAGGATTGCCCCGTTTCCCCAGAAAGATTTACTGCAGCTCGCACCACTCGTGCCGTGTTTCAGGGGGGCAAAGCAGACAACATTCACGATGGTTGGTTTGGTAGCCGGCCTAATCGCTCACTTGGAGATCCATGGACTGGGTTCACATTTTTCAAGTTAAAACCCATTCAGTCCGATTGCGTTATCACCACAGGTGCAGCCGTGATGTTAGACTCCGTACCGCCGACACCTCTCACCGAAGCGTCAAAGAACGGTCGTCCAGATACATTGCCAATTTTTGGCATGCCGTGCAGCGCAGAGGTTGAAGCTCCGCAGCCCAAGCAGTTTGAGGTAGGAAATCATCGCGCCCGCAAGCGACAGGCACGCATTGATAAGTTGCCTGTGATGTTCGAATACGCATGTTCACCAGAGTCCATGTTAGGCTGGCTAAAGAGTTCATCGACCTTAGCACAGATGAAGGAGAAATCCAATTGCAGTCACAGATAGAAGGTTGTGATAAACCCAATCTCTGGGCTGCAATCCCCTGCACATCAGGTTCAGCATGGCAACGCCTTAATAAGGCCAAGTTAGGAAGCCAGTTCAAAAAGAAACTGAAGCAAAAGGTTAGAGAGTCGAGAGAGTTGTTCTCCAGATTCAGACGTCACGCTGAGACTGTCCTCCATCAGGGGGGTAGTGTTTCGTTTGAATGGCCAAGGGATTGCGACAGCTGGGCTAGGGATGATGTTTCTGCATTCTTTAGGGAATACGCACAGGTCTTCACCCCAGCGACCTTCCACGGTTGCGCCCTAGGTCTGAAGGACAGCAATGGTTACCCCATCAAAAAGCCATGGAAAGTCATGACCAGCAATAGCACCCTCGCATCCGCGCTAAGTGCATTCAAGTGTCCGCACGAAAAAGGGTATAAACACTCGCTTGCAGCAGGAAACAAGACCGCAAAGACCGCCTTCTACCCCGAAGGCATGTGTCTCACAGTTGCCCGTGCGCTGTGTCCGACAGTACAACCCGTTGTGCCATTGCCTCTCGATCACCAGGAACGTGAACAGCAGCTAAAACACATATCCCCTCTCTCTGGTTTGGAAGATATAGGTATTGCTGTCGAGTCCGATGAAAAGTGTCACGACATCCTTGAACAAGTTCTTGATGTTGAAAATCTCATCGCACATTCCCTAGGACAAGTCGAGGAGGAGAAGGATCCTGAAATCACCGCAATGGTGACCAGACTCTTGTCACGTGCCGAAATGTTGGCTTCCCCGGAAGCCCTTGAAGCCGTTCGACTTGAAGCCGCAGGCCTGGAGAAAGCCGGTGTTTGGGATCTAAATTCAGTCCGAGAGTATGATCAAGTCGCTGCTGAGGCGCGACGATCCAGTATAAAAGTTCATTTCGGGCAGTTGATGTCGCTAGCATCCGTCAAGTTCGCCGAACTCGCGAAACACCTTCAGAAGATGAAAGGTAGGATTGTGTATCGCGGAGACTGTGCGAAAGACGAACATGGCGCAGCAGCTGTCTACCAAGAATTGGGAGCAAATCCCACGAGCGTACAAGGTCTTAATAACTGTCTCGCTTATGGATCCCTGCCAGGGAATTCCACCACAACAGCGGACGCTATAAAGGCTTATGTGCAAGCACTGCTGAAATCCAAGTACCAAACTTGGATCACACTCCCGCCTGAGCTCCGGCCAAGGTGGTGGCGCGAGCGTTTCGTGAAACCTGTGGTTTTGCTCGTTAAAGCTCTTTATGGGCATCCTGACGCTGGCGGACTCTGGGAGGCACACCTCAAAGGTTTCATTAGTGAACTTGGAGGGCGTGAGGTCGCAGAGTTTCCTGGAAACTTCTGGTTCAAGGAGTCCGGGTTACTTCTCTCGACATACGTCGACGACTTGACGTTGGCCGGCCCCAGCCACCTTCATAAAGACTTCTGGGAAAAGTTAACAAGACTGGTTGATATAGAACCCCCAGAAGACATATATCGGGTGCTAGGCAGGAATCACCTTTTGATAGATGCTCCAAAGGACCCAACTGAACCCGATCTTAATGCCGCAATGGGCAGATTGAAAGGGGGCATGGCGTTCGACATGAGATTATGCTCGTCAAACGGTTGCATTATATCTTGAGGTTGCACAGCTAAAAACTGAAAAGTTGCGTGATGCCACCACTCCATTCTGTCCCGCTGGACCTCTAGACCCTGCAGATGACGCCTTGGAGGGTGAGCTCGGCTTGCCGCGTGTTGATGAAAGCCTTATGGTTGGGTCGTTTGGCACGCCCGGACCTGGTCAAGCCCATTGGCGACCTTGCTTCCTTTGTTCAGAAATGGTCTAGGAACTGCGATAAGCAGCTACATAGGCTTGTCTGCTACATAAACAGCACGGTTAACAGCACGCTAGTTGGCACAGTTCAGGATTCGACTGATGAGTTGCATCTGTCTCTCTATGTGGACGCTGATTTCGCTGGAGAACGAGACGCAAAGTCAACGTCCGGAGGCTTCTTGATTTTGAGTGGTCCACATACGCACTTTCCCCTCGCGTGGGTGTCTAAAAGGCAGACCTCGGTCTCCCGATCGACAACCGAGGCGGAAATCGTATCTCTTGCGTACTCCCTGTACCAGGAGGCACTTCCTGCGCTCAGCTTATGGGAGCTGATCTTGGACAGACCATTCCATCTCAAGATCCACGAGGACAATCAGGCGACCATCCTCGTAGCAAAGAAGGGTTTCTCATCCAAGCTACGCTGTGTACAACGCACGCACAAGGTGAACCTCGCTTGCATCGCAGAGCAGCTTGAAAGCGAACACATCTCAATAGAATACGTCCAAACAGACATGCAGTCAGCAGACATCTTCACGAAAGCACTTCCGCCCAACAAGTGGGACCATGCCATCAGGTTGCTCGGCATTCGTGTTGACCTTCCAGAGAAGCTTGAAGATGTGCGTGAAAGTAGATCCGCTAAAACAGCTGCCTAGTCCGCAAAATTTCCAAAAGTGTGCAAGTGACTGGGCGATGCTTGAATAACTTGCGTCAGTCGTTGTGATGTAAACTTGACTTCAAGTTGGCGTGGTAATGCGCCCAAGACACTCCCTCAGCCGTCAATGAGGGGGGAGTCAATTATCACGATGACATTTATGGCCCAGAGGATCATGTGTCAGAGGTACGTGTTATCTTGTCCCATGATGTACAAACAATTCAAGATTGATCAGTGACATGACCACATGTCATTGCTTTGGCTCAAGAAAAGAGCGCGTTGCACGCGCTGCCACAAGGTTAAGGGAGAGGTCGCAGTCACGGCGGGGTTCGTTCCTTTTAAGGTCCCGGGTTCCCCCGTTGTTGAGAAAACTGTGTTTCCCTCTCCTTTGAGTGGTAGACCCTGCAAAGTGGCCATATCCGCCCCCACCTACCTTTCTACACACCAACTATGCAAAACCTCATATTCTAAAGGCAGAAGGGTGAGCACACTACCCCTCGCCTGCTGAAACCCAGTTTTTTTGGGTACGTCATTTGTTGTTGCACATGCTTTTTGGGTCAGAAGTTTGCACATGTTTTACGGGTAAGATATGTTGGTTGCACATTGTCATGTTGAAAACTGAGAATCGACGGGAAACAGCGCTGTGTCCCAGCAGGAATGGTTGTGCTGTTTTGTAACGCTGGTGCAAGAGTTCCGAATAGGAATCGCAGTACGATTTATAATCTCTCTCGAATCACTCCGCGATCCTGTTTACCTCGCTACGGATTGCTCCTAGGCTGGGTTAGAGAACTTGTGGCTACGTTAAAATGTTACAAAGCTTAGACATGTCGCTGTGGTACTATTCACGGAAAACCAACAGCAATGAGATTCATAAGCTTTCCAGTCTGCCCTGCAAAGCATCCATCATCTGCCCCACAAGTCAAATAAAGCAAACACCTTGGTATTGGGAGGGGGTCTTTGTGTATATATATATATATATATGTCTCACCCCAATTGGCATGTGAAATATGTAGGATCCAAAGCACGCGTTCAACGGGATTTTGATGGCTGAGCGAATAGCAGCGGGACCTGAATGGCAGTCGGATGGGTTCGTTCTTCAATGGCAATCTTATCTGACCTGGGTGTGTCTCAAGTGTCTCAAGAGCTTCGACTCTCACGCATTCCCTGGCGAAACTTGCCTCCAAGTTGGGACAGGGGTGGCGCGAGCATTCCAGGTGCCAAGTAGCCACTCATTATCCACATTCTCAGATCCCTGCAGAGGATAATGATATGCGATTGCTGGAGATGGGGGTGTCTCTTTTTTGGGGGGTACTCTTTGTGGGGTCGTGAAAGGGAAACCAAATCCATTTTAGTGTGTGTGTGTGTAAGTTCCTTTGTGTGTACATGTGTGTGTCAAATGGTTGGCTTACCTTTGAGGTTCCCCTTTACCCTACCCTTTGCCTTTTTTCACAGGGCAAACAACGTCTTAGCATGATCTTGTTGACCAGGCACCCTGTAACTGGCGCACACGTGGCACCCCATGCGTTTCCCGCCGTCCAGGTTCCAAACCCCCCGGCCCCCCACCCCCGCTCGGTGCAGAGGAGTTCATGGCGATGATGAGGCGGGACTCCAACGAGGCTGGATGGCAATGATGCGGCGGGCCGCCCCAATATGGCTGTGGGTCAAAACCAATGGTACCATTTTGGGGTAGGTGCACCACCCATTTTAGCACCTATTTTAGTGGGGATTGGGATGTTCACTGGGGGTACGGAGTTTGGACCCATGGCCATATGGGTGTTTGTCAAAATTAAACCACCAGGAATTGGACCGCAGGTTTTGGCCCATGTTGCCACTTACCAGGGCAAGCCATTTTGGGTACCTATTTTTGACCCACAGCCATATCCTGGAGGACGTGGGGTGTTTCAACGGAAGTTCGGGATCCTGATGATGGCGATTTCCTTTCGAGACACAGTACCCAACGGCCGGACGACAATAAGGTCTGTCAAAACGAGCAACCCCTCTAAACAGAAACCAAGAGGAAACGAAGCTGATCAACTACAGAGGTGTCCTATTTGTTCAGCACTAGCGTGAGCCCGCCGAGGCACACATGCCATTCCCAGCAGCAAATTTGGCGGGTTGCTGCTCGGAAAATGTACTTGTTGCTTGGAAGTCACGGGTTTGACAGCAGGACGGTAGTTGATGCAACTTGAGATGAGGATTTGTTTGGGCATTCAGACTTGAGCTCACTGCAACGACATCTACGACTACACCGAAGTGTCAAAGGTAAGTCTTTGGAAGATGCCAAAAGTTCAATGACGCTATCGTCAACGTCAGAGCTTGGAATCCATTCACCAAGTGTAGCAAATCAATACTCAGAACGACTTCCTTGGAACACACATGCACATCATGAACTGGGTCAATGTCAAGGTGGTGAGCCAATCAAGGCTGAAGCCAACACTCACTCCAAGCCACATTCCAAGTGGCCTTGAGTTCGTGAAGACAGCACATTTACCTCAGGAATCCCTGCTGAAACTAGACCAACCGCACCGAGAAGCAGAACGAGCAACTCCTGAAAACAGATGTGCCACATGGCAACATAAGCTCCACCAACCTTCCTTCTTGGCGTTCAGGCCTGACCCATTCTTGCTTGGATTCCTTTTGGTTGGGGCTATTTTCAAGAGAATGCTGTATATACTTGTATGTGTATCTGAATTTGCATTTGCATGTTGCAATTTGAGCAAACTGATATGGCGTTGCCACAGGGCAGTCTACAACTGGCTGGAGTTCGTCTTATAAATGCACACGCACACAAATACGAATGCAAATGCAAATGCAAATACACACACACAAATACAAATACAAATGCACACGCACACGCACAAATCCAATTACAAATGCAAATGCAAGTGAAGATATACGACAACAACACAATACAATACATATGTATGTCTATTAAACATATGTATATATATATGTATATATATATATATATACACATATTGAAGGCGAGGATCTTGACTTCACAAGTGCCAGATGCCGAAATCAACGGCACCCTTCGGGCCAGGCGGAGATGGAAGTCCGCGGTTCCTTGTAAAGGCCGGCCGGGGCGGCCGGGCGGCCAACATGATGTGAGGTTCGGTGAGAATTCCAGTTGTCTCCATTTTGCAGTGCCGTTGGCAGCTGCAAATTTCCCACAGACAGCAGAGGACACTGAGTTTCTCATGTCCCGGATGTACTGCGCGGCAGGTACAACCGCCCGGAGGATGCCATTTGCACAGCGCAAGACGTTTCACCGAGCTGTGCAATTTTCATCAGGGTCGGCCCTGAGTGCGCCAAGACCGGCGGGGATGGTTTGTAGCCTTGTGATGCGGTTGCTTCTTCCGGACACTTTCTTCGCCTGTCTTGGCACCTGCACGCTCTTTGCAAGGCCAAGAGCACCCCCAAAACCAGCGCCCCCCGCAGGAGACGGGAAGTCAGCGCAGATCTCGGGACATCCCAGCCAGCGCTTCACACGCTGGCCGGGTCCAGAGGTTCCGTGCTCAGGGTTGCTGGCTAGAGAATTGACCGAATTCCTGGGACGAGGTCAATAGACACTTGGTGTCGGTTTCTATAGGCTGATGGTTTGTTTGGGTTGCTTTGTGGTTGATGCCTTTGTGACTTAAGAGCGCAGTTGGCATCCTCTTCGTCGCTGAGTCCCAGGCAAAAGGGGGCAGCTACTTCACAAGGAAGTGACGTACAGATGTTTTTTCTGTCCGCTGCATCGAATATTTGCAAGATGGAAAATACTGGGCCTCAGGTTGACTTCCGCAACAGAAGCATATGCCCTGCATTGCTGCTCCTTGCTTTGTTGGTCAGTACCTTTTATACATGGTGGCTGTGAAAGAACGAACCTTTGGAGTCAAACACTTGACTTGCACTGAGCACTCAAAGCGTGAATTGTAGAGTTGTCTCAAGGCCATCGCTTCTAATCAGAGCACACTTGTGAGACGGGGCACTTTCAATCAAAGCCCCTACTGAATCCTGGCTCTTGAGACCGGCGCCGTTTGCTTTCGCCGGTTACTTGCTGGGCTCGTGGCATCCACGGAGCGTGTTGACCCTCGACCCCCTCCAAATAGTGTCATCAGGAAGGTTCCTCAACAGCATGGGCACTTTAGGGTCTTTGAAAAACCATCGAGCTCAGCTTACCCAGCCTTCGGACATCCTCATCCTCCATGCAAGCTTGACCTATGGCATGCTAAAAATGAAAGCACAGGAAAGCAACAACAGCTTTGCCATATTTACCCGTTTTGGTTGAGACCCATGTGGCGCGATGCGGGTCCTTTTTACGGCCCTGCTGGCTGGCCGTTGCGTGGAGGCCTTTGGCACACTGCGCTGTTTGGAGGGGGTGAGGGCTTTGCTTGGTCGGCTGATGCAGAGAAGGCAAAGGCTGGGAGGTTCTTTCTGTTGATTTGAATCCCCCCCTCTTGGTTTCTCGGTCCAAACAACCAGGTGGTGCGGACAAGGCCCAACAGGACCCTGCCAGACTGTCGGGGTTTGATTGAGTAGCGCAGACGATGCCTTCGGCTGCCGTAGGTTGTGGCTCTGCCTCCGATGCTCGGCTGCGTTCATCCAGGGCTGTGAGGCGCCATGATAAGGCCGCTGAAGCATCAGAACTCGCGCAGATTTCATGCACGGCACGGCACGGCACCGACAAGCTTCTGTAAAACTATCCCGACAAATAAGAATTATAGGAAGGAATAAGAAGGCTTATATGCTTATAGACAGGATCCATAAGAAGGCAGATAGAAAGGATTAAAGAAGGCTTATAGAAAGGAACAATAAGTCTTATAGAAAGGAATAGGAAGGCTTATAGAAAGCATATAGTAAGGCTTATAGAAAGGAATAAGCAGGCGTACTTTAAAGGAATAAGACGGCATATAGAAAGGAATAAGAAGGCATATAGAAAGGAATAGGAAGGCTTATAGAAAGGAATAAGAAGGCTTATAGAAAGGAATAAGCATCCAACATTTGCCCCAGTCTGGCTTGCCACTGACCAGTGCACCGAGGTTTGCCACAGATGACAGTGCCGAGTGCGTTCACTTTCACAGGCCGTGCTCAATGAGCCTCTGCCTGTGATGCGTTGCTCAGTTGCGAGGGATTCAGCATGGTAGACGCACTGATCTGTAGCCATAGTCTTTGTGGAGATAGACTGCGAGGGTCATCCTCCTCCCAAAGAGGGGCTTTCTTACGGGATGCATGCCAATCTCATTTTCCATTTGTAGCCAGGGACATATTTTGTTGGAACGGTATTGGAGGCCTCCCCTATGGAGACCCTTGCTGGGGTGTCGGGGGATGGCGGGGTGAGAAGATGGGGAACGGTTGGAAGGGATAGAAGGCGGGGGAAGGAGGGGAAAGCAAATCTCCCGCAGGCCGGGCAGGATCCTGGTCTACCATGAGGACGGGGTTCGATTTTGTCACGGGTAAACTGAATCATCCACGTGGAAGGCTTTCTGACGATCATCCCCGTGAGGGTCCAAGGCTTACACAAGTAAACCAGTCTGCCCCCCCCCTTCAAAAGAGCATGCTGCTCAGGCTGGCCAAGTCACAGCGTTGTGGCCCAAGCCAATGAGAAGTGTCAGCTTTGAGCGTTTCCCTTTTGGGGTTGTTTCGAGAACCCAAACAGAAGCTGCCCACTTTGAGAAGGACTCCCCGATTCTGACCCAAACCCATTTCAAGCAAAAGGCGCAGCGCGCAGCTCAGGACACGCCCATCTTTCCCATCGGCATCTCCGTGCCGTGGCGGCCGTTTGTTTGAGATCAGGTTTGCAATGGCAGACCCATTGCCATGCTGAAGCACATCTAGTTGGGTCAAACCATGCCGTCAGTTGTGGTCTGTTTGAGAGGGGCATGGGGGGACTATACTTCCCAAGGGTTTGACCCGGATTTGTCCCATTCCCAGGTCCTTTTGAATCGAGGCTTAGGAACCCTCGCTCTTTCTGCAGAAAGCAGTTGAGATGTGCGTTGAGAAATCGCCTCACAGGGTTTGGTACGAAGGATTTCGGGGTTTTCGGCAGGAGCTGATCATGAAGCCATTGGACAAGTCCCTTTGACACATTCTCAATGGGACCTTTGTGACCTTTAGGACCTTTCGGACCTTTGGGCCAAAAGGGGAGTTGAGCTACCATTTCCGTCGGGATAGCCAATCGCAAGGTGCCATCCGACATGGTGATGGACTCTATTCCCAGAAAGGTGGGGCATATCACTGACTGACTGATCACATGCAAAGCAAGCTATTGCAGATGGCTCATGTCCCCGGTGTTCTTGAGCATTTGGAAAAAAATGCTTGAGTCATGCCAACCGCAATGTGTGTGTGTGTGTGTGTGTGTGTGTGTGTGTGTGTGTGTGTGTGTGTGTGTGTGTGTGTGTGTGTGTGTGTGTGTGTGTGTGTGTGTGTGTGTGTGTGTGTGTGTGTGTGTGTGTGTGTGTGTGTGTGTGTGTGTGTGTGTGTGTGTGTGTGTGTGTGTGTGTGTGTGTGTGTGTGTGTGTGTGTGTGTGTGGTGTGTGTGTGTGTGTGTGTGTGTGTGTGTGTGTGTGTGTGTGTGTGTGTGTGTGTGTGTGTGTGTGTGTGTGTGTGTGTGTGTGTGTGTGTGTGTGTGTGTGTGTGTGTGTGTGTGTGTGTGTGTGTGTGTGTGTGTGTGTGTGTTTTTTTGTGTGTGTGTGTGTGTGTGTGTATGTGTGTGTTTGTGTGTTTGTGTTTTTGTGTGTTTGTGTTTGTTTGTTTGCTTTTTTGCCAGGGCAGATATGCTTGACTCATCATCGCTGTTTTGTGCTCAATATGTTTTGTGCCTTTGCGCCAGCTTAGCCAACTTCATGATAGTGTACTTGCTGTGCAAGTTGCACAGCATAGTTTTGTGACGTTTGTGACATCATCACAAAGCTTGATGTATGTGTGTGTGCGCGCGTGTCTGTGTGTGTGGGTGCGTGCGTGTGTGCGTGTGTGGGTGCGCGTGAGTGCGTGCGTGCGTGCGTGCCTGCGTGCGTGCGTGCGTGCGTGCGTGCGTGCGTGCGTGTATGTGTGTGAGTGTGTGAATGTGTGTGTGTGAGAATGTTTGTGTGTCTGTGTGTCTGTGTGTGTTGTGTTGTGTTGTGTGTTGTGTGTTGTGTGTGCGTCTGTGTGTCTGTGTGTCTGTGTGTCTGTGTGTCTGTGTCTGTGTGTCTGTGTGTCTGTGTGTCTGTGTGTCTGTGTGTCTGTGTGTCTGTGTGTCTGTGTGTCTGTGTGTCTGTGTGTCTGTGTGTCTGTGTGTCTGTGTGTCTGTGTGTCTGTGTGTCTGTGTGTCTGTGTGTCTGTGTGTCTGTGTGTCTGTGTGTCTGTGTGTCTGTGTGTCTGTGTGTCTGTGTGTCTGTGTGTCTGTGTGTCTGTGTGTCTGTGTGTCTGTGTGTCTGTGTGTCTGTGTGTCTGTGTGTCTGTGTTGTGTGTGTGTGGGTGTGTCTGTGTGTCTGTGTGTCTGTGTGTCTGTGTGTCTGTGTGTCCGTGTGTCTGTGTGTCTGTGTGTCTGTGTGTCTGTGTGTCTGTGTGTCTGTGTGTCTGTGTGTCTGTGCATGTGTGTGTGTGTGTGTGTGTGTGTGTGTGTGTGTTTGTGTTTGTGTTTGTGTGCTTGTGTGCTTGTGTGTGTTTGGACTGTTTTTTCCAGACTCTATTTGGAGACGCATGAGAGAGGTGAGGGTGCATGCCGACTTTGTGGGCAGCAGACGTGGGGGAGAGGTGCGGAGCGGGGCGAGAGAGTTGACTCGGACAAAAGTGAACTCCTGCTTTCTGCCGATAGAAGGCGATTTCTACGGACTCCCGGTGGTTCGGTGCATTTGTCTCCTGCTTGTTTTCCCACTAAACATGAATTGTGTTCCCCCTGTGGCTACTGGGCTTGTGCATTGGTACTCATGTACTGGCAGCAAGATGTAAATTTTGTACCGACCAGCCACGATCCCAACATGGCAAGGGCCGATTTCCCGAAACATTTGGCTGATCACCATGAACATGGATTTGACACCTTGGCTTTGTGCCAAGCTAGGCGTGCTCTTAAGGATCTCGTTCAGACTGGTGAGGCGGACAAAGACTCAGAAGCTTCATCGCTTCAGGGCTGAGCTTCAGGTGAAGACATGAAGACAGGCACATACGCCACTCCAGGTCTTACCGGCTTGCATGGCACGGGAAGACAAGCAGACAAGCACACACAGACTTCTTCAGGTCTTTATGATTCTTTATGGAGACAATGGAACCGAGCGAAGATACGAAGACCCGAAGACATGCATTGCAAATCCTGAAGCCTTCAGGTCTTCGGCGGGTTGGTTTAAAACTCACTGGCCCATGTCTGCTCCTTTTGCCACCTCACCAGGCGTCCGAATACAAATTTGGGCCTATGGAGGAGCAGAGGCCGGGAGGTTCAGCGCAGAGAGGTAGGGGAAGCGTTTGTGACTCTAAAGGACCCTGGTGTTTGCAGGAACACCAGGAAATAGAAATCAACTATGTTCCTGGCCCCGCAACTGTTCCGAAGCACAAACACACAAACACAAGCACAAGCACGACAACTGCGAGCCCCAAAGCACCTTCGGGCTGTCCAAAGTTGCGGAAGCGGCGGGTTGCAGGTACCAGGACTTCTACCGGCGCCACCGCTTCGCGGCGACCAAGCGGAAGGGTGGCTGGGATGCGTGTGCCTGAGAGAGAGCCCTGGAGGTAGCCCTTTTTCCGCGAAAACCACCTGGGCGCCCTACATGTGTTTGAAAAGCGGAGCTGTTCGGGGCAGTGCTTTTTCTGGCAGATTGGAACCGCTTTTTGGCAATCCCTCTGGTGTTTGGATACCTTTTTCGGGCCGGTCCCTTAGATGCTTCGTTTTTCAGTCACCGTCCCAAGGAATCCGCTGGGGCCAATGGCAGGAGGTTGGTTTTGACCGAGGCCACGCGGCATGCGGAGATCCTCGCCATGGGCACGGCCTAGCGCCCAAGGGCCTCGATTCGGAGAGGGGCAGCAAGGCAACTGTGTCCTGTGGATGGTGGCGAAATCCCTTCGCAGCACCTAAGAAACCCATGGTTGAAACCATTGTTTGGTGTTATGTTGCAGTGGAATCATATCATTCCAGGGTTTTTGATAGGTGGTGCACAGGGAATGTCGCAACCATCCGCATTGAGGGCCTTCTGCCAGGGTCCAAAGGAAAACGGGAAGAACATCAAGCATGTCTGTGGTCCCTGGGTTTCCTTTTGAATCCAAGCAACATGAGTGCCCTGGCCCATGGAACCTTTGCTCCCCTCATGTTCCAAGTTTCTGGGAGGAAGGGTAGAAGTCAAGTGTTGTGGTCCGTAGATTTTGACATCCATGCTCATCACTGGTAGCTGTGGACATATCGGTGATGGCATACAGCGTGGACCAGAGCGTCTAACTGTTCAGTCATGGCCAAAATCATAAGCGCGCGTTGGTGACTCCTGTTGCGCTGGGCGCATCATACGATGACAGCTCGTATGGTCCTAGAGACTCTCATGTCTCATGAGGAAAGACGATGATGTGGTGACTCATTCTTCCATCACGAAAAATCCACCTGGCACGTACGTAGGCCGAGGCCAACCACCCTGCAACCCGATACTGCGCTTGCGAGCATTTGTTTTTTTGGTTCGGAGCCAGCGCCCTCAGCCATCATCGCATCAACTTCTGAACATGGCTACTGCTTGCTGCCCACGCTGATGCGTTCGCCTCCTTCGAGTTTCTTCAAACGAAAACAGGAGAGTGAAGGTCAAAGACCAGAAGCAACAAAGGGGGAAGTTCTCGATTTGAGAAATCCATGGGAAAGGCGAATGAGCCCTTGATCCGCAGGTGCCGACCTTTGCTGGCTTGGCCGAGGCCTGCCCGGAGTCAAGGGGGCGGACTTTTCCAGTGGGGTGGCTCTCCGGAGCCGGGGTGACCATGTCTCGTGCGCGTGTTCTTTGTGCGGTCATGGGCTATTTGCGAAGACCACGTTCGATGCTTGTCAAATTCCAGCGCAAGTTTGGGGAGCTGCAGAAACTCAATCCTGAAACCCACTGAGCCATGCTCAAGGGCTGCATTGCATGGAGCCCTGGTCAAACATTGGTCTGCACTTGGGAGACGGACGACTTTGATTGGAGCCTTTGCATCATCAAGCCATCTGTTTGTCAGCGTACAATGTACCGCACGGCCCCCCTCATTCGCGTACTGATCGGGGGTCAAGCGAGCGATTCCGCTCATTATGAAGACACCTGACTTGAGGGCATACTGTTCAATTTATGCTGTTGAACCATATCCTTGTTTTTGATTTTAAGAGGAAAATCAGAGGGGCTGTTGCCCATCCGCCACGAGTTCAGATCGGCGAGTTGTCCCAGTTCAGTTCGTCCCTCCCGTGCAACCCCCCAAAAGAAAGGAAAGAACAGAAAGTACAAAAATAAGTGCGAACCACCATCCCCCCCCCAAAAAGAAAGAAAGAAAGAAAACCACAAAACACCATGGCCCACCCCCAAGCTTTCTTGGGGATTTCCTCCTTCCACGCAATTCGCCGCCGTTTTGCGCCCCTTTGGCGTCCCCGTCGTTCCGCTGTAGGCGCCCTTCCTGGCGGTGCCCTTCGTGCCCAAGGCGAGGATCCTGCGGGCCGAGGCCCAGCGGGGCAGCTCAGAGCGGGCAGGGCGGACCGACCCCGCCTTGTGGGGGGTGGGGTGAAAGGGACGCCAGAAGGAAACGGTCTCATCCATTTTTTTAATAACATGTTTTTTTAATGTTTGGCAACATGGGGTTTATGTTTAGAAAGACCCTGGAGTGCAACTGAGCATGGTTTTTGGTAGTGTAGGGCTAGTTGATGGAGGACCTGTGGGGGCAAAATCCCCACAAGCCAATTGTCCCATGTCTTCTGAACCGGGCTCATGTGAGGCAGGTGAACATATCCTGTTTTGCCTATTCAACCACAGAACCAGGAGCACGAACCCCAAGTTTTCCCGTGCCCATGGTGGACACGTGCATGTTTCGACCATGGCTGACTTGTGTGTGGACAAAACGAGGGACCTGTTTTTTACTCCTCAAAATCCAAACTGTCAAACACTTTTGATTTTGTGAGAGGGAATCTTGGGAATACTGCTTCGAAGGAGGGCCAACACGCGTGAAGTTTCATTTGACAAAGACACTCGGGGAGCCCTGTGGCCCTCCAACACGGTCGCCAAGTTGTCAACTGTCACGATTGATTTTAGTTACTCGTTGGTGTGTCACGCAGAGTTTTATGCTGCCTTGCGCCTGCAAGTAGTTGGTCCACGGCTCATATTCCGCCGTGGATCAAAATGCAATTTCGTGTCTTCTTACCCCTTCGAGCAGCTGCAAATAGTGATATTTCTCGCGACTTTTGACGTTTTCATGGTTCCCGCGCCCGCTCAGCACTGCACCCATGCCAGCAGGTGGTAAGCACACCCCGCTCACGCGCGCCCACTCAGCACTGCACCCATGCCAGCCAGATGGTAAGCACACCCCGCTCACGCGCGCCCTAAGCACACCTCGCTCACGCGGACCCGCTCAGCACTGTATCCACGCCTGCCAAATGGTAAGAACACCCGCTCACGCGCGCCCGCTCAGCACTGTATCCATGCCTGCCAAATGGTAAGAACACACGCTCACGCGCGCCCGCTCAGCACTATATCCATGCCTGCCAACTGGTAAAAACACCCGCTCACGCGCGCCCGCTCAGCACTGCACCCATGCCAGCCAGATGGTAAGCACACCCGCTCACGCGTACCCGCTCAGCACTGTATCCATGCCTGCCAAATGGTAAGAACCCACGCTCAAGCGCACCCGCTCAGCACTGTATCCATGCCTGCCAAATGGTAAGAGCCCACGCTCACGCGCACCCGGTCAGCACTGTATCCATGCCTGCCAAATGGTAAGAACACACGCTTGCCAAATGGTAAGAACGCACGCTCACGTCGCCCGCTCAGCACTGTATCCATGCCTGCCAAATGGTAGGAACACCCGCTCACGCGCGCCCGCTCAGCACTGGAACTGGCGGCGGACGCTAGGGCTCAAAGCCTTAGCGAGGTTTTGCTTGCTAGAGGCTCTCCTCTGACAAGGAACGCTGTTGGTGTTTGATCGGGAACAAGCAGTGCGTCGTGCCGGTTTGAAAGTAGTTCTCGAGGAACAAAACCCTTGTTTTCATATGGAAAAACCAACGAAAACAGTAGCCCTGCTTGGGGAGGACGTATGAAAAGCACGGAAATCACTTAAGGCTTCGGTTCATTGGGTTTTCCCACAGGAAACCACGTGCCTTTCTTGACTTGTGCTGGCGAAATCCTGTTTTGACTCACGGCGGAATATGAGCCGTGTTCCAGACATCCCGCAAAGTCTGGTCAGGGGAAAGGGCTGCTGGTTCACATTTCTTGTATGAGCACATCAACTGAGATATGTGGGGTCAGAAGACTTTGCTTGGGGTGTCAAGCAGGGTCTGTGATGCATGAGAAGTCAGGCTGCTGCCCTATTCCAAGCGTCTGGAGGCAGTCTACAACGCCAGGGGCCTTGTCTGGGTGGCATGTGCACGTCGCCCATGGTCAGTCTCTCCGCAAATGTCCTTGTTTACTTTGCTCATGCGAAGCAAGGCAGGGAGATGCCGACCAATTGCCTGTGCACAAAGCGGCCATGCTTTCTCTTGGGCCAGGCTTTCAGCAAAAGGGCACATGCTTTGAGGTTAGTAAGGTTTGCAAAAGTGTTAAACCAAACCATTCCGTCCATGTCAAAGCAAGGCAACCCGAATTCCACTATCCATGCTCATCCAAGAAGCTGAGAGTCATTGTTCCCACACACGGCAGACTCTGGCTTCTAACGGGTTGACAATTCTTTGTTAATGTTGAAACGCATGTGGAAACATGAACTGTGTTGGCAATGCTTGACCACAATGGCGCATGCCATTTTGGCTCAAGCTTTGCCCTGGGTTCTCTGAACCCAACTTGTGTGAAAAATTTGAGGTGAAACACTTCCGATCTAACCCCGAACCAGCAATGGCCTCCTCGGCAACCTCGGCAACTTCCTTCGAGCTGATTGAGGACCAGGCGCTCACTGCGGAGGAGGTGGAAATGGCCAGCCAGGCGGCCCAGGAAATCCGCACACGCGAGGCGGCAGTGGCGGCCGGCCTGGTGTTGGACGAGCCCGAGGCCCCCCGTCGGCTTCGGCCACCGACGTGATGAACGACCTCTCCAGTGCACTGGAGCGTCTCCGTGTGGCTTTCTCCACACCGACTTCCGGCTTGGGTGCCCCTGGCCCCGCCGATGAGGTGGACCAGGACATGGACGATGCGGACGCCACGGAGAAGGCTACTCCACCAACGAAGAGGCTGAAGGGTTTCGTGGCGGCTTCCCAGAAGACCTCGGCTCCGGTGCTCCCTTGTGCCGGTGGAGGGCCGTCCCGGCTACTTCAAGTTAGTGGACCTCCCCGACCTCTTCCCGGTCCTTCCGGCATCGGCGGCCACGTTGCTGAGGGACGTCACGGTGGAGGAGGCGGTCTCCCTGTTCCACAAGTTTGTCGGGAAGAACCTCACGGAGGACTTGGTGATTCGCATCCTGGAGGCCTATGTTCCGATGAAGATCCAGATCCGGCAGGAGGAGGTCTGGGCCTCACAGTTCCAGAGGAACAAGGCGTGCATTGGCACCCAGCGGATGCACAGACTCGATGCCGGCCACTCAGACTACAAATTCATGTGCAAGGCATGCGGCACGGGGTGGCCGGAGGCAGCCAATCAGTGCTGGGTCTGCCCGGGCAAGGAGTTTGTCCCCTTCCAGGCACCCTCGGCTACCTACGAGGCGGACGGCGTCACTTACAACCTGCTCATTGTGGAGGGCAAGCCGACCTGGATCCAGCAGTGGGATGGGGGAAGCCTGGGTGCCACTGGCCCCGGTGGTACCCGGGCACAGGCAGACCGCAACCTGGTGGACGGCACGGTCCTGGGAAGAGCTCCTCCGAAAACGGACACGGCAGAAGAGATCACCATGGCAGACGTGGTCCCGCTTAACAGGCGGGTGGACATCCGGCAGGAGATCCTGTCCATGAAGCCGGACGACGAGGCGTTGAAGGTCCGGGAGCGCCAGGAGGTCAAGGTCAAAGTGCAGCGGTCCCTGCAGGAGGCAGAGGCTCAGAGCTTCCAGCTCTACCACCCCCAGGTGGACCAGGCGATCCGGAAGAAGGAGGAGCTGCATAAGGCCTTGAGGGAGCATCGGGAGCCGACCCCGGAGGAGTCCTCGGCCAGGCGGCGGCACAAGGAGCTGGTCACGGATGAGATGCTGGACAATGAGATGGCTATCCTGGCGCCTCTCCAGGAGGGCATGCAGGCCCTGCCGTCAGAGGAGGTGGCCAATGAGGGAGCCCGGGCCCTCAGGAAGGTCAACCTGGAGCGATTCAAGGCCAAGCTGAGAGACCAGAACCTGGAGGGGAAGGGCGTTGACGCCAGCCAGGCACTGGCTGAGGCGATGGGCTCCATCCAGGAGGCGCAGGAGGCGAACAAGCGCACCCAGGACACCAACCAGGCATGGATGCTCAACCACACCCTCAAGGCCTTGGAAGTGTCGGCATGGCCGGATGATCTCAGGAAGGCTCTGGAGAGGGGGCTGTTCTGCCCCCTGGAGCTGGCGAGGACATCCCCAACGTGGGAGACATCAAGGAGAAGTATGTCCCCTACATCCGGAGGCTCAGAGAGGCGCAGAACCCATGGAACCAGGAGGCGCTGCTGGAGGAGATGCCCGATCTGGCGACACGGCCCTTGCAAGGGTGCCACTGGCCCCGGGGGGGACCAGTCAATGCCACCGCAGGACCTGGACTCGGAGGGCAAGTTGTCCCTGCTCCTCTGGGCGATGAAGAGGCACCAAGGGGAGCTGCGGATGTTTGGGGGGATCTGGAAGAAGCACTCAAGCGGTGAGATCCCCAAGGGCGCGGACCAGCAATTCAAGCTCACGCCGGAGGAGCTCCTGGCCCTGGAGCGCAGGACGCACCCGCTCACGTGTGAGCGGGACCACATCGACCCAATCATCTACTCGGCCTTGGAGATCCGAGCGCAGGTGAACCGGGGCGAGCGCCCGGCGCCGGAGCAGGTGGTGGGGATCTTCTGGGCGAAGGGCGATGGAGTGTTTTGGACGAGGCAGACGAGAACGTGGGACCTGCCGAGCTTGACGGGGGTGTACGCCCACAGATTCACCTTCAAGTACATCTACTCGGCCTGGACCACATTCCCGCTGGTCGTGAAGACGCAGCGACGGGGCCGCAATGCGGAGGGCTCGGCCTCGGATAAGTGGATGGGCAACATCCTCCAGATGAGGAAGGAGGCGGTCCCCTTCCTGGAGAGCCTGGGAATCCCCAAGCCGAGCAGCAAGGCGGAATGGAGCTACATCTTCAAGGAGATGGGGACGTTTCTGGCGGCCAAGAATTTCATCGTTAACTGCCCATTGCCGGTGATGGAGATCCCGGTTGCCCCCGTCCACGACAGCAAGGAGGCGCTGCGCTTCAGGGCGGTCTGTGACGAGCGAATCTGTCATCATTGAGGGCTTTCGACTCGGTGTACACCAAACTGGTGTCGGGCCTGAGTAAGTCCTCCATGGTGGAGGTCAAGGTCAACTGGCGTTGCAACGTGGTCCATGACTGGGTGGAGCAGGTCCCGCAGGAGGCGGCGGGGGCCCTGTACGACCGGCTGGGCTACTCCCAGGACATGATCAGGCAGATGGGTTGCTCCCCCCCCTTGGGTGCCTCTGGCCCCGGGGGCGGAGCGGCTAAGGAATCGGACCTCAAGGCCAAGATTCTGGGGGGAGCGGACACCACGCTCCGCACGCCGGAGGCAGTACCCTCCGATCACCACGTCTACGGTCACGGCGGTCGCGGGCCGGAAGTATGTCAACAAGCACTTCCCGAAGGAGACGAAGCACGTGTTTTGGGCCTCCGTGGAGTGCGGCCTGGTCCTGCCCAGCATCAGCGCATGGGAAGTGGTGGGCAAGGAGAAGTTCAAGACCACCGAAACCTACATGTGCAGGTTCTGCAAGGGTTTCTGGAGGGCGAGCCGCGGGGGGACCAGGCTGCTCCAGATCACGGGGTGGCACAAGGACAAGGCCACACGCCTGCAGCTGGTGATGGACGAGCCCCCGGAGCAGCTATATAATCAGTGGATCCGGGACAGGATGGAGTTCTACAAGCGGGTGGAGCCGACGGAGCCACCCAGGGACGAGCGGCTAGTCCTTGGAGATGAGCACCCCGCGTATGCGATTCAGCTCCTCGAATGGCCTGGAGGATGTCTCCACTGCCTTGTGGTCGGTCATCTTGAGCAACCCGGAGAAGTCGGGGCTGGCGGCCATCCACTCGGTGGCAAAGGAGGCGATCTTGAAGGGTGAGAGCCGCTAGGTAGTGTCTCACAACCCTTTTGGATGGGGAGTCGTGTGATCTCTTCCCACCGGGACTTGGGTGCCTCTGGCCCCGTCTCGGGTGGGGGGAGGAGTAAGGTTCTCCTTTTGGGTTCATCTTTCACCATGGTTTCCCCCCTGTTCAACACGCCACGACTGCCGGTTTGCCTCGATCGGGAGGCTGCACGCGTTGGCTGCCCCAAGGACGGGCCATACCGGCCGCAGTTTGGAGAAAGTGGCTGCGGCTGACCCGAGGTTCCCTGAGGTCCCCTTGGGGGTTTTGGGGAATCCCCCGTCGGGTTGGTCTTCCCCCCCCTCCGTGGTTTGTAGGGATTTCCGGGGGATGGACTCTTGGGTCTGCAGGCTGCCTGCCTGCCCCATTTGCACTCGGCATCCAGCGGGGTTGGAACATGCATGCAGTGTGCCGGCCGTTCGATAGGAGGCTCGAACCCCCCCTGTTTTTATCATGGCTAGGGTCTCTACAAAGTTTCTTTTGCGCCCGCCTTACACTCGCCTTTGGGACCGCATTCCAAGGGTCCTGTGGGACACGTTGGCGGATGAGTCCTTCTCCCCGAGACAGACGGACGGGGAGCTGCTGGTCCTGATGTGCCTGCGCCACGGCACGGCAGAGGAAGGGAGGCAGCTGGGCGGGGAGCCGGCCATCCGCTTCATTCAGCTCCTGGAACTCTCGGGCATTCCGGTGGGCCAAGATGACCAAGTGGTACCAACGGACTACTTCAACGGCCTGGTGGCGTCGGCGGCGGGCAGGCTTCCCCAGCCTTTGTCCGCGGCGGACCTGGCCGACCTTTGGGACAGCCTATGGTTCCTCCTCATGGCGGCTGCGGACGGCAAGCTGAGCGAGAACTTTTCCCCGCTGGAGAATGAATGGGACCGGCAGGACCAACTGAGGTGGTTTTCGCGAGATGACCCACCCCCACTCCAACAGCCGGAGCTTCTGAAGTGGAGGCACTGGAGGCCCGGGAAGATCAGGGAAATGGAGCCCACGACCCAGCGAGCGCTGGAACTCCATATGCGCGGGAAATGGGCGGAACGGCTCCTTGCCCACTTCGCCCCCTTTGCGGAGCACATTGCATACATGCAGGACATCCTGGGGGAGGACTTCCGCAAGGAAGCATTGG